AAGAACACAGCATGGGATTTTTCAAGAAATATATATTAAGGTTTCTCTCGGCAACATACACCAGAGAACCTGGAGTTTCAGGGGTCCTGAGGTAACGGTTTACCATCAAATGGGCAGCATGCTTATTTGCCACCATCGTAGTATAAAAAAAATACAGTTTACGACTTATGGCAAGTGCAGCCAGTACAGAATAATAATGTTCATGTATAAAGACGGTGTCGTAATGTTTATGTACTGCCAACTGATGGCTAGTGGTTACACTTGCCATGAGTTTGGCAGTAAGCTTGTTTCCCATTTCAACCACATAAAAACACTCAAAGCCAGGGTGAGTAGCTAATAATGTTGCAAATGTTAACCTTATGAAGACGGCATCGTAATGTTTATAAGCTTGTTTCCCATTTCAACCACATACTCAAAGCCAGGGTGAGTGCCATGTATAAAGACGGCGTTGTAATGTTAATGTACTGCCAACTGATGACAAGTGACTACACTTGCCATCAGTTTGGCAGTAAGCTTGTTTTCCATTTCAGCCACATAAAAACACCCAAAAGCCGGGGCGAGTAGCTAGATCGGAATAAAGTCCAATTAGCGAACATACAACATAGGCGGAGTGTAGCGCCGTGTTATTATGGTGTGAAATATTTTTGCAGTTTTACTATTCTGAGTGGAACACACAATAAATTCTAATCTTCCACCTCGTGACCCATTTGTTTTATAGAATTGAATACATATTTAATACGCTAAGGGTCCGCTGGCGAGCCACAAATGAGTTTATAGAGTGATATAGTAGGCGGCCTGTTTTGCTAAGGCGTAGATTTCATAAACATGATAAATCGTATAAAACACATTACATTTACGTAATTCTAATATATCTTCAGGACTGGAAAGTATATAGAAATAGTGGATTGATTTGCTGTGCTATATGTGTTTTAGTATAATATAATATACATACTTTTTTACCAACATTTTTTAAAAAAAGTAACTAAGTATTCGTTTTTATTTGTAGCCGCAGCAAATTAACATGACAAATAGACACATACGATTACATGTACATGCAATCATATGTGTCTATTTACGTATATCGGCCACGGGATTCCACTGCTTTGTCTAGGAATTTTTATTTCTCCGTATGAAGATATATCCAGCACGATATAAGCATTTTCACGAGCATGAATAAAAATGTTTATATCGTGTGAGGAATCAAACACACTACCATCGGAAGTAAAGCGGTGTGCTAAATCACTAAACCGTCGAGGCAATCAAACCAAGGAAAACCCAAAAGAAATCGTTTAAATGGATAGTACGCTCGTAATTAATTCCCGTATTTTTATTTATCCCGGTCTGTTATTATACGCAGACGAAGTAGCAAATAGTATATTTATTCGATAGCTTGACAATTATTGTAAGAAGGTTTTGAAAATCAAGCTTACAGAATCCGTTTCTAGTTTGAAGATTTTTACTAACATTTTATTTTAATCAGTCCTCGCTCCAACAAATAGACCTTACCTGCTTAGTCTTAGAACCTCAACTGTCCCTTCCTTTATTTTACTAAGGTGCGTTCTGAATGATGAAAAATGTCGGATGTCGTAAATATGACCTTTATGATTATTTTTATTAGGAACCTTTTTTTCGATAAAAGGAAGGTAAATTATAGATTATTTGACGGATAAAGAAAGATGGTCGGTGAGTTTTTATAGCGTTAATAATTCACAAAGTGTGATGAGTTCATAATTTTCTATAGATCAGATTTTATATAATATAGACATTTTATATGAGATGAAATAACATACAAATATGTAGTTGATGACAACGCTATTTAGTATTCATTGCTAGAATAGGATATTATCAGCCAGCCGACGGATACAGTTACACGACACATTCTTTCACACTCGATCTGAAGCGCGCGCAATTTTAGTGGTCATTCTCGTTCTCTTTGTTTACATTTATATGCACATTCCTTCCCATGTGTAAGGGCGTAAAATATTGTGATAGAGACAATAGTATAAAAAAATATGTAATTTTTATTAACTTTAAATTATTTATTAATGTAGGACCTTTTTACCACTTCTGCTTATCATATTTTTATCACTGTCCCTAATGTCCAGTTCGTCTAGCTACTTCAGAAGAACTGGTAAGAAACGAAGAAGAAAGAAAGAAGAAAGATTTTTTTATACTTTTACTATTGGTTTTTTTATTGACTGTCAGAAAATGAAACGAAATGTCAAAATGCTGCTATATGCACTTATAGTTGTGCTTTTCTATATTAAAGTATCAATAAATAAATAGAAATCATAAACTCAAGTAAATAGACCACATTTTGTTTAAATATATTAGAGCCATTTATCAAAAAGGTACAAACAGTCCTCGGATCAGCTTGTGAATTTTAAATAGCCAACTTCCAAAGCCGTCAGTAATTCATAACTTTTGAACTGTAATTGGCTGCGAGACTGAGATATTTTTAGATATCTATCTATCTGAAATAGACAAGGAAGAAGTTTCAACTCCGATTTATTTTAAAATTAATTTATTAGCTTTGATAGTCAAAGTTTAACATTATTAGGTGCAAATTTAGTTTACAAATGAGGAATGAATGAAACGAAGGGACAATTAACTTGGTAGTACTTCAGATACAATTAAAATTGTTGTTTGTAAAGCGCCGTCTAGTCTTAAACTTAGCAGACCTTTTGTTAGAGATACTTGTTATGAATCGGTGAACTGTATTGCTCTCAGAATTATGGAAACACGTGGATGCTGTACATACTTTATAATACAGTACAGCAGCTACAATAGTAAAAGGATAATAAAAGTATATAAAAATCGTTACATATAAAAAAATATATATAATTGGAATTTTATTATTGGAAGCAAACTTACGGCCGACCTAATGATGGTCAAATTAAATCAAACCAAAAATCATTCATGTAGGATGTTTTAGCCGCTTATGAACGTAAGTTTTTTGTATTAGTATTTTTGCCTACTGTCTGACTGTGTACTGTTTTGACAGTTCAACATACAGATTCAATTGCGAAGAACTGCTAAGAAACTCAACTTATTAACATTGTGTACTTATATAGGTATCTATGTGCAACATTAAATCAAAATCCCGTGCACGAATAAGTATTGCCATGTACGTGTCTTTTAAGTAATCGTTTATTGACTAACATGCTTTTCTCAATAAATATGATTTAACAGACGTTTAAATATCAAAATCAACTATATCCTTTGTTGTCTTATTGTATTTTTTAATACCCATCCCTTTAAAAGACCCATGGACTTTTACTAACGTGGTAACGTCGTCTATATACATGAATAACACTAGGGACATCACGTTACGATATGACACTCTTTATAGCACTCCTGTCATATTATTTCCACGGCCAAAAAAAAAACGATTCACACGCAGACGATTTTTTACAAAAACTAGACTAATACATATTGTAAGGTAGTCGAATAATAATATAAATAATACATTACCAAGATATACAAAACTGTTGGCAGTATTCGGGCTAACTGGGCAAATTATTTTATAGAATTTATCTAAAATTTATAATAAAAATATAATATTACTGTATTGTGTGGTTGTACTGAACTGTATTGCGGCACGGGCCGACGCATATGAACTCTACAATGTAGGTCACATTGTAGAGTTCACTCTTAAAACAATCCACCTATAAATTGATCTATGGACCACTGAAATAATTATTTATATTATCAACTAGGTTTTAATACAAATAATTCTATGATAAATACAGTCATTTTCTAAGCAATAAGCATTTTTTCTAAACGGTAATAGAAGTAACTGTCGGCAACTACCGACATTGACATCGTCTTTACTCCTGTCAGCTCGTGACCACTAGTGCAACCTAGTCGAAACGTCGAGAGAGGACCTTTATTTACCGTATAATTATCCACGTTAAGATTAGGTTAACAATACAAATAAAGTATATTAAACATGAAACTTTAAAAAAAACTCATCGAAATCGTCTGTCAATACCATCTACTTCACTTGTTTTATATTTGAAACGAAACTATATTTTGAACTCAATCCCTTTACGACAGCAAATATATTTCATTGCTACACACTGTCAACAAACTAGTTATTGAAATTAATAGATAGAATTTAAACTATTGAAATTCAATTATATTCTATAATGATAATATATTAATAAACTTTTGAAATGTGTGTAAATTTGACTCTAATATTAGAACAAGCATTTATTTGATGTAACCGACTCAATTATAAAGTTTTCAATAGTAATTTCAATAACTGAATATCTCTAATTAATAAAATATTAATATCTGTCTATTAATATCTCGAATACCATATAGGGATTTATATTGAATGGTTTAATTAATTAATTAAACACATTAGTAATGCGGACTGAAATATTCATGATCTCTCATCACATCTCAATTGTGTTTAGATTATCTTAAGACTGAAGTGGGCGTAATCAGGTAATCGTGGGTAAACGGTTAAAGACATACAGTATGAAAATGATAATAATAATTTAAAGAAAGGTGTTATTATGCCTTTATAGTTATAACGAAACAGCCTAGATGGAACTATTGGTGTATATTCATCTCTGCCACAAAACTCCATAAACAACAAAAAAAATTTATATTAATAATAATATTACAATTAATATAAAAAAATATAGTCAAGCTAAGCAAAGCTGATATGGGTACTAGGCAACTAATACAAATACTTAGATTTTTTTGTAAACATATACATAAGTATACATAGTATATGATCATACTAATGAATACTAATGTTTGTGTCGTGCGAAAAATCGAACCCGCGACAATTGGAAGTAAATCGATGCGCACATATTTAATTAATATATTTTTGTTTCAGATGTGTCATCGTAATGACGGCAGGATATTGAATTAGAACACAAAAAATGGACGTGCCCACTATGATGTGCCATATTTACGAGATAAGATGAATTCGACTATAACAAAAATGAACTTGAAGGCGGTGAGATTGCACGCAACTAACAATGCATGAATTAGAATTCTTCCATCTTTTCGACAATGTTAATACTGAACTTAACATTTGGGACGTCCCAGACAACTATTCGGATTATAATACCACGGGATTTAACAGCACTTACAATGTAACTGGGAATTTTAATGAGGGCTTCGTCAATAATTGGTGGGCATTGGTGGCGTTGGTGCTTGTGGTATGTACTGCAGCTGGGAATGTGCTCGTCTGCCTTGCTATATACTTGGAAAGACGACTGCAGAATGTTACTAACTACTTCTTGATGTCACTGGCTATAACAGACCTTCTCGTTGCTATATTGGTGATGCCGCTGGGAATCCTGACATTGCTACGAGGTGAGTTGTTTTTACAAATTGCAATTTTAACCGTAGCCGTAAGCTCTTTTGTCCCTTATACTATATGTAGTATAGGGGACAAAAAAGCTTACGGCTCACTTGATAGTAAGTAATTACCGCTGCCCATGAGCATACAGCAATACCGGGAAATTGAAAGAGCATTGCAGTCCTTTAAGAAGCAAGAAACTCTTTTCTGGAAGTTTTTAATATGTATCGGTTCGGATATACATTGCTGGAAGGTGATTCTACATTCGTGCGTTGCGAACAGTTTTTTTAACTCACGGTAGAGGACCGCCATTTATCCAGATAGTTAGGATGGTATTTTAGATATTAATCCCAATAATGCTTAGAACACCCTCCGTAATATATGAGGTAGAAAATGCACAGAAATGCAACGTCTCGCAGCAAAGCTAATGGGTCGAGTCTGTCACAAAGACGTTTATTAACAATGATTCAGGCTGCTCGGTTCTAAATGCAGTTAAATGGAAGTAATTGGTGTTGTACAAAATAACATTAATAATAGTGAGTCATTATAAATTTATTCAAGTAGACTTAGCAACATTGGCTGCATGCTTACCTCCATTTTACCTAAAGTAATAAAGATATTTATTGAAATCAGATGGCATAATAACATATTCTATTTTGTTATTTGATAAAATAAAACTGTTTTGTCCTCACCCGAAGCAAAATAACTTTGTGTCTTGTTTGACAAATTACTTTTGAGTTGTTTTAATTAGTTTACGTAACGAAGAGTTAAACTTGGGAGGTAAATACCTTTTAGACAGTTCGGCAACGTGAGGACATATATATTCATGTGGTTCTATATAATTATGGGCAATAAATTAACTTGCGAAAGGCAGTCGAAACAAATTTTAATAAAATTTAAAAAAATTATTAAAATTTAAACTTATATGTAATTTAAAAAAAAAGTTAGTTTGTGACCATGGTTAGTGAAAACTAGTGGAAACGCTGGGAGAGGTAAATACTTCTATTTATAAAATTATTCGTGTTAGAACCCGGTTAACAATATAAATAATGTGTATTAAACACGAAAGTTTGAAAATAACTATAATATGTATACAACATTCTTTTGTATATAGCAGCATATTTTTTTAATGGATACTTATATATAAAACTATTTCTTGCCAGTATTTTTTCAACCAAAAATGTTGTTGGAACTGCACAGTGGTTTTAAATAATAGGTGACTTTGAGAAGTTTGTCATTTACGTGCATTTCACTTTAATGTTCATTTAGAGCGAAATGGTCACAAAATAAATACAAATGTCACTCAGAATCGCTCACTGGTAACTAATGATAATAATAATGTTTATTTTGGCATCAATAACCCATTTGTTAGTATTTTTTTCTAATCTAATGTTAGTAAAGTTCTTACCTATCTAGTAGGTACTACAGTTGCAGTCGTTACAAATTGTTAGACCTCTGTCTAACAAGTACACTGACACAATCTTGTATTAAAGGAAAATCTATATTTTTCATCAATGTGTTCAGAATGTTGTTAGAGCTACAACGCATTCTGATGAGATGCAGTTTTTTTTCTAATCATGGTATAAAAGTCATCTGTTCGTGCAAGAGCGAATATTCCAGAAGCACTACAGAAACGTGGCTAATGTTAGTAATTCGTGAATTATTTGGAGGGTGTAGCTGTAGCCTGAAGACTATAGCACTCTCGGACATGTACTTGTACAGATATGTGGGTGACTACCATTGCCCGAAGACTCCCATTACCCGTTCCCCTAATAACTAAACTGACATGAATTAGTAATTACATATATACATAAACAGCACCACGGACATTATCCTGTAACACTCGTGATATCACACACTCGTTGCTGACTGCTCCGATCGATCCCCTGTCTAATTCAAACGGGGATCTAAATTACGACCAAAACCGAAATTACGACCGAGGTTTGTACCCCTAGCGGCGCCCTCAGACTAAAGTCGTATCCGTTAGGAGGGAGTTGGCCTTCAGCTGCTCCATAAGTCCTTCCACGGGTTGGAGTGCCATCTGCACTCGCCCCCTATTATCAGATGGATGGTAAAGGCCAGCTGCGGCCAACAGCATTAGAGTAGTCCGAAAAAAAGTCCAGAGGAATTAATTGAATGTGGTAAATTTTTACAATATTACTTATTGTTATAATATTAGTGTAAGGCTGGGGTCGAACCTGCGACCATCATGAGATGAGTCAGGTAATATAGTTCAACTGAAATACCATCAATATTGACAAAAAGTAAACAACATTTGCCAATCCAAATCGTATTAGTACATAATATCGTATAGATAGATAGTTATTTTGAGAATAAAATATCTAAGTTGGATAAATAAATTTTACAATATATTTTTCTTTTTCATACAACGTCAAAGGATTCCATAACAAAGGCTTATGTAATTTCATTTAACGGTCTCTCTGCTGGGATGTAGTATGTCAGTCTAAATATTTTTAAATCCACAGAGAATACGTAATTCTTTATAATAAAATATTATACCTTCAAAGCTATATAATGAGAAAAGAAGTCGACAGAAGTATTGTTCATTGTAGATATGATGGTAAATGCAACACGAACTATCATACAATCACACACATTTCAGTATACTAATCTCAACCTTTGTGGTCTAGCGGTTCAGCACACCGCTTTACTTCCGATGGTCGAGGGTTCAATTTCTTGTACGGTGCAAACAATTGTATTCATGAATATGATTGTTTGTATCAGTCCGTCTCGTTGTTTTCTATATATATATTATGTATGTATTTACAAAAAAAATATTTAAGTATTTATATTTATGTTGTCTAGTATCCATAACACAAGATCTGCTTACCGTGGGTCTAGAGGTCGCTGTGTTAATTGTACAGGTTCACTTATTATTATTATACATTTATTTATTTATTAAATCTAGACTGTATAAATACAAAAATAAATGTACCTACGGACATATTTCAATCCAAAATTACTCAGGTCTAAGACTCAGCTTGGTCTCTGCTGGATAGATCTGCCATTATTATAATATTCGTTATGGATATCAACGGAATTCATTACGCATTTTTTTTTATTCATCTAGACTGAACTTACGACCTTTGAGTTTATAAGTAGAATTGTAAACAACAAGACCATGACGGCGACAAATTTCTTTAAATGAAATATTACAACCTGTATATATATGTACAGAGGATCCATTAACGTGAGTATGACTACGTTAATGGATTTTCTAAGTAACGATATAGCCTTAAGAGAAATGTGGAATCATTTTTAAGCGACCTAAATTCAACTATATTATTTCGTGCGATAATAAAACTTATGTAAATCAACTTAAGCTCCCTTATTCATAAACATAACATTCGAATAATAAACCAGAGGTAGACTTTGTACAAAGTGATCGTAACTCAGTATCACCTATCTCTGCTGCTAAACAGTCCGCTTTGTAAGCTGTGTCCCGATGTGTAATGATTTATTTTATAATAAAATAATATTCAATAAATATATTATCAATTTCGATTTTTATAGTGCGCCACCTACCTAACCTACTCAAAGCTTCGGGGTCTCAGATTGCCTGTAAGAGTTTGCTTTAAGCGACAAGCCCGCCAATTGTTTAGCGTATTAAATATATTATTAATCGAATCAAAGATTTCATCTTTTTTAATTCTGTTGTAAAGCGAGTCTACTTCAATTATTCCATTCATACGGAGATCCTCGTTCCAATACGAGATTTTACCTAGATCATTTTTCTCCAGCTACATGTTTGCACCGTGCGAGGATTCGAACCCGTGTCCATTGGCGGCAGTAAAGCGGTGTTCTACACCACCGAGGCCCTCACAATGGAGTTAATGTACGATATTTTATTTTTTCTTTTTCGTACGAGGCTATTTGTTTTTTAAATTCACAACCCTGCTGTACTGTTACGTTAACCATAACATTAACCTAACAAAGGCCTCTATTCCATCTGGTATTGAGTAATATCGTTACCGGTAGCTTTACCTGTCAGGTTCTACCATTGACTACAATTGGGGAGATAACGGACAAAGGAATCATGTACTCAATGGTAATAAACTCAACTGACAGTCCGCTTACTAATTGGTGCCCAGACGCTGAGACTTTGATCTACTATGTAACGGTTGTAATACTTTCAATCCTGTAGTACCGTATAATGGAGCTCCACAACTGTAATACTGAATAAGGCAGTAATTATAATAACAATACTTTTACTATCATTTTAATATTACCATATTCCGTTGGACAATTTGCACAATGCCATCTAGTCCCAAGCTGAGCTGGTGTTATGGGTATATTAACTGTAAACATGAGTACATTAATTTATTTATTTATTTATTTGAGCGACCAACAAGACTATGAGGTTACAATAATTATCACTTGCAAAATGTTCAGGTATATAGTTATGACTTAATTACTGGTTGCCACGGCATCCGTAAATGTTTACAGAATTTTATATATGTATACATATTTATCTTTTTAATTTTGTTTCAATATGTGTTCTTGAATGGTTGACTTGAATTTGGAGAAATCCGAAAACACGTCAATATCTGAACTCTTCGCTACAATATTATAGTTATTTTCTAGTCTATTAATAGTAGAGAAGTGTCCCAAATTGCTTCTGAATTGCTTTTTTGCAAATAAAGAACACTTTTTACTGCGAGGTAATTTATAGGGCGCGTTTATAGTATATAGTTATTTGTTCTAGTAATGCAGGGCAATCAAGGACACCATTTATAATTTTATGGAAGAATGCACCGTCAAGCAACTGTCTCCTGTCTCGAGACTCGTTAGTTTGAAATATTTCAAACGTTTATTAAATGATTATACACATATTTTAGTATTAGAGTATTTAATTGAATTAGTGCTAATCGGTGGTTTGTATTCACACACTTAAACTTAAATTGTAAGTAAGAATAAATTATTTAAAAGAGCAACACACAAGTTTCTTGCTTGTTCTTCTTGTGATGAGACAGCATTCCGAATGATCGGTAGA